AAGCCTACAAGAAAAAATAAGGGAGAGTGAAGGTGCATGCATATACTTTTGAGAAATAGCTAAATGTTTTAGTTCTAAAAGTACTTTCTAAAATTGCCTAATATTCACAAGTCATTACATTGAATATTGCAGAAAATTAGTGGGGGGGGGGAGTTCCTCTTCAATTTCTAGCCATTAGCATTCGTAAGACAAACTATAAAATCAGGTTGATCTAATACTGCCATGGCATTCAGCCATTGACTCAATGGTAGTTTCATATAGTTCAACCTCAAATCTGGAAATACAAAATAATTGAGAAAGAACAGTAGTTTTTATAATGAAATGTAGATAAAAGAGTTAAAAAACAGAACAGTATACATGTATGTACCATATGACTATGGAGTTAAAAAAGAAAATAGTATATATGTATGTACCATATGACTATGGAAAAAAGATTTAAGTTAAAACAACATTTCAGGGCTGGGTTGTGGCTCAGAGGTAGAGCGCTTGCCTAGCACGTTCGAGGTCCTGGGTTCAATCCTTAGCACAACATAAAAAAAAAATTAATAAAGGTATTAAAAAAATAAAAATAAAAGAACATTTCAGAAGGCCATCAGTAGAAATTTCTGAAGTCATCTGAGCAGTGGATGATGAGTTCATGGGCAAACCTATAAAATTCAAGTGGTGACTATATGAGTTCAGAGTCAAAAACCAGAAGAAAGCTACTGCAGAGAGCTTTTGAAAGTTCCAAAGGATCAAAGACGTGAGCTTGACAGGTGGGAATGGGAATGAAAAAAAGAAAATAAGTAGGAACAATGTGATTTCAAAGTCTTGAGTCTCATACTATTTTTATCTTCATTAATGAGCACCATGCTTAGCAAAGCAGAAACAAAACAGACCTCTGTTTAACTAAAGTTAAAATGAAGTTACAAGATCTGTAGACTGAATGGGTGGGGACAGCAAGGAATCACCACAAATGATTCTAAGCTTAGCAACTGAAAGAACAAAAGTGTTACTAAAAAAAAAAAAAAAAAAAAAAAAAAAAA